GAAAACACTGAGATGGGGGGCCAAGAAACCCAACACAGAGTAACGAAATATATTTTGATCCAGGAATGGAGTTATATATTATATTCCTGCATATGATGACTTAACATTATAAAGATAGCAGTGTTTTTGTTTTGTTTTACTTCCAAATAAATTCTACACCACGTTAATACCAAAAGGATTAAACGTTATATTTGATAATTCTACTTAGTATCTACCAAGAGGCATATGCAAAGCTTTTCATTATAATATTGCTTTAAACAGTAAAACAGAAACAACCTGTCCATCAATAGCTATAGGTATAATTTGTGAACAAGAGTAAAAATAAAGAGGACACACTGTGGAATAATATAGTGTCAAATAGCAATGGTCTAACTAGTCTCTTTGCTGTAGCCCTTGCCCCTCTGCAATGGTCTCAATATAGCTCCACAAAACCTCTTTAAAGTAGTTAAAGAGCAAGAATGTCATTTTGAAGACTAGGGTACACCTGACCCATCAGGATATTTTCAATCAGTTCATATGCAAATGAAAGTTGGACAATGAATAAGGAAAACTGAGTAAGAATTGATGCATGCAAATAAAGGTGCTGGCAAAGAATACTAAATATACCATGGCCTGCCAAAAGAATAAACAAACTGTCTTAGTAAAGTATAGCCAGAGAGCTCCTTAAAAGCAAGACTGGCCAGATTTCATCTCATTTACTTTAGACATGTTATCAGAGGGACCAGTCCCTAGAGAATGACGTCACGCTTAGTAACGCAGAAGGTCTATAAAAAAGAGCAAGACCCTCAATGAGAAAAATTGACCGTGGTTGCAACAATGGGGCTCACATGCAGGACTATCAGTGAGATGGCACAGGACCAGGCAGTGTTTGTTCTGTCGTACATTGAGTCTCTGTAGGTCAGAACCAACCCAAGAGCACCCAACCAGACAACAGCACTGTGCTAGGGACTGAATCGTGGCCCCCACCTGACCCCTAAATATGTGTCAACATGACCAGGCTGTGTAATTATCTTCAGTTTTTGTGAGATGAAGTCATTATCCTGTATTGTAAATCCATACCTCTATGACGTTAATGAGGTAGGACTATAGCCGGTTTTGTTAATAGGTACGATACAATTCATAAGACTAGGTTGTATCTATAGACAATCTATTTTAAGACATAAAAAGAATAAAATTCAAGCGAGTTTAGAGGGTCCTACAAAAACAACAAAACACAAGAACCAGAGCAGTGCATATCCTTGGGATGCAGGCTCCCTATACTAGGAACCGCCTAGACCTAGGGGAAGACTGGTACCAAATTATATGAAGATGTGCAAGGGAAAAAAACACCATGGATTTGAAAGGACACGAGGACCTTCCTCTTAAACTGTGAGTCAACAAAGAGAGAAAACTTTCCCTAGAGTTGGTGCTATGCACTCTAGTTTCTAGAACTGTGAGAGAATCAATTTCTATTTGTTAAAGCTATCCATGGTGGTATTTCTGTTACAGCAGTATTAGATAATAAGACACTATTATAATATCGTGACAAAAGAAAGGAAGTCTAAGTAAGCTTGGTGGATTGTCAAAAGGAAAAAGTACCGGTAGCTAGCAGACAAAGGACCTTCCAGGGGAAGTTCCTTGTTTCCTTCTGCATTTTTTTTTTTAGGTTTAAAAATTTTTATTTATTAATCATTTTATTGGGGGCTCGTACCACTCTTATCACAATCCATATATACATCCACTGTGTCAAGCACATTTGCACATTTGTTGCCACCATCATTCTCAAAACATTTGCTTTCTACTTGAGCCTATGGTATCAGCTCATTTTCCCCCCTCCCTCCGGAACCCTTAATAATTTATAAATTATTATTTTGTCATATCTACACTGTCCAATGTCTCCCTTCACCTACTTTTCTGCTGTCCATCCCCCAAGGAGGAGAGGGGATGTAGATACTTGTAATTGCTTCCCCCTTTCTACTCCACCCTCTTGGTATCGCCACTCTCACCACTGATCCTGAAGATCATCCGCCCTGGATTCCCTGTGTTTCCAGTTCCTATCTGAACCAGTATACATCTTCTGGTCTAGCCAGATTTGTAAGGAAGAACTGGGATCATGATAGTGAGTGGGAAGGAAGCATTTAGGAACTAGAGGAAAGTTGTATGTTTCATTGTTGCTACATCACACCCTGACTGGCTCATCTCCTCCCTGCGACCCTTCTGTAAGGGAATGTCCAGTTGCCTACAGATGGATCTTGGGTCCCCAATCTGCACTCCCCCTCATTCACAATGATTTGATTTTTTGTTCTTTGATGTCCGATACCTGATCCCTTCAATACCTTGTGAATACACAGTTTCCTTTCACTCTCTGTGGGGCCAGTGTTCCTTAAGGATCCCTGTGTGCCTTGATACCAATTTCCCCCCGGGTTTAAGGGGTTATCAGCGCAGGGACATTCGTCAGGCTCCAACCCTGGCTTGTCTTTGTTACGGTGAGGTTCCCCTCTTCTCGGCTAGCTTTCCTCCCCTTCAGTTTCTTGTAAAACAGAAAGTGCAACTCAAGCAAGCATGTGTGATTTGAGTCATGCCCCCTTGTAAGGTAGTGACTTAAGGTACAACTCACACAAATCCTGAGAGGTTAGGATTTACAACACAGAGAGTCACACGATCCTGGGAATCATGACTGGCACACAGTTCTGGAAGACACAATTCAATCTACAGCATGTTCCCTTGGTTTTCCAAGATAATTTGTTCATTCTCCTGGCAGCTCATAGAATATTCAGTATTCTTTACCAACACCATAATTTAAATGCATCAATTCTTATTAAGTCTTTCTTGTTCATTATCCAACTTGCACATGCATATGAAGCAACTGGGAAAAAAAGCAAGGATTGGATTAGGCACACCTTAGTCTTCAAAATGACATTTTTGATTTTTAACCCTTTCAAGATGTCTTGACCCAATGCAATGTCATTTGATTTCCTGATTGCTGCTTCTGTGAACAATGATTATGGACCTAAGTAAAATTAAACTCTTGACACCTTCAACTTTTACCTCATTTACTGTGAGGTTGGTTATTAGTTCAGTTGTGAGAATTTCTGTTTTCTTTATATTGAATTGTATTCCATACCTAAGGCTGCATGAGTGATTTTCATTAGCAAGTGCTTCAAGTTCTCTTCACTTTCAGCAGCAGGTTGTATTGTCTGTATTGAAGGTTTTTAATGAGCCTTCCTCCAATTCTGCATCCTTCTGATATAGTCCATCTCTCAGATTACTTGTTCAACAAACAGACTGAATAAGGATGGTAGAAGGATATAAACCTGACACATACTTTTCTTGATTTCAATCCACACGGTATTCCCTTGTTCTCTTGGTCTATGAACAAGTTCTGCATTAGCACAGATAAATGCGCTGGAATTCCCATTCTTCATAATGTTGTCCACAATTTGTTATGACCCAAAGTTGAAACAGCTTGGCTTTTAGTCAAGATCCATTGAACATCAGCAATGGTATCTAACTCCTCTTCTGAATCCAACTTGAATTTCTGGCAGCTCCCTGCTGATTTACTGCCTCTGGCTCCCCCAAATTCATGTCCTGGTCACACATTAAACACATGCAAGCCATCATATCTTCTCAAAAGTTTTAAATAAACTCTAGGTCTAAAACCTTAGCTTCTGAATCATCTAAATCAAATACGGGTGAGACTTTAGGCCTATTTCATCCTGGCACAAGAGTCCACTTCATTTGTGAACCTATTGAATCTATATTGCAAGTTATCTGTTTCCAAAGTACACTGATACAACAGGTACACGGTAGACATTTCTGTTAGATGAGAGACACTGTAGGGAAAGAAGAGATGACGACAGGCACCAAGGAGTCTAAAAGCCGGCAGAACAACCTACACAAGAACTCAGGCTTGAAAAGAATCCTTTCTCTCTGAGACCATCTAGGCTAGGGTCCTGCTCTCCAGACTCTGGGTGTCGGCCAGGCTCTGGATTATGGAAGTCCCTCAGCACTCCACTTGCAGGCCTACTGGGGTGAACCATCTGGCTCCTTTAAGATCATGCTCAAAAAGCTCATCAGTCAAATATGTAAGTTAATCACTTACAAGGTATACTTCCTACTAAACATCTGAATGTAATCTGGGCAAGTTCTTGGCCATGGTATAAAAAGTATTTTCTTTCTTCCACTGTTCAGCTACATGTTCTTTATTTTCTTTTAAAGTCTCATTAGAAGCACATTTAATGACCACATTCCCATTTAGCAACCTTGTTGCTGGTGTCACAGAAACTCTCTAGCTTTCCTCATTGCCTTCTAAGCTCTCATGAGAGTTGCCTCTGATAGCCATAATTCAAGTCCATGTAAGCTTTTACTATCACCCACTGCCAAGCCGATGTTGAATCACAGTGGCTCTATCTGATAAGACTAGACTGGCTCTCCATAGGGTTTCAGAAACTGCAAATCTTTATGGGAGTAGACAAACCGCTCTCTGATGAATTGGCTGGTAAATTTGAACTGCTGACCTTGTGGTTAACCTACTGCACCAGCATCTGTTCATTACCCAATTCCAAAACTGCTTCTATATTTTACCTATCTGTTGGAGCAGTATCCTACTGCTGGTACCAAATTCTGACTTAGGTAGCTAATGCTGCTATGACCAATACTACAAATGGATGGGTCTAATAACAGGAAAGACCAGTCCCTGGAGAAGGACATCATGTTTGGTAAAGTGGAGAGGCCATAAAAAAGTAGAAGGCCCTGAAGGAGATGGCTTGACACAGTGGCTGCAATAAAGCGCTCAGGCACAGGAATGATTGTGATGATGCCAGACCAGGCAGTGTTTCCTTCTGTTGTGCACAAGGTCACTATGGGTCAGAACCAACTTGATGGTACCTAACAATAACATTTTCTCACGTATTTAGGAGGCTAGAAGTCCAAATTCATCAAGAAGGCACCAGTTGTTGGGGAAGGCTTTCTCTGTGTCAACTCTGGGGGGGAAGTCCTTGTCTCCATTCAATTTCTGTGGGTCTGGTGTTCCTTGGTAATCTCCATGTCTGGGCTTCAGTCTTCCTTTCGGTCTAAGAGGTTCTCAGTGCAGGCACCCCAAGTCCAAACACAGCACTTTGCTCCTGGCTCTTCTTGCTTTTAAAAAAATCACTTTTGTGGGGCCTCTTACAACTCTTATAACAATCCATACACCATGTGTCAAGCACAATTGTATATATGTTGCCATCATCCTTTTCACAACATTTTCTTTCCACTTGAGCCCTTGGAATCAGCTCATTTAAAAAAAAATCCTTTTATTGGGGGATCATGCAACTCTTATCACAATCCATACATACATCCATTGTGTCAAGCACATTTGTACATTTGTTGCCCTCATCATTCTCAAAAGTTTCTTTCTACTTGAGCCCTTAGTATCAGCTCATTTTTCCCCCTCCTTTCCAAACCCTCCCTCCCTCATGAACCCTTGATAAGTGATAAATTATTATTATTTTCACATCTTACACAGTGCGCTATCTCCCTTCACCCACGTTTCTGTTGTTCATCACCCTGGCTGGGGGTGAGGGTGGGTTATATGTCAATCAATGAGATTGGTTCCTCCTTTCTCTCCTCACCTTCCCCCTACTCTCATGGTATAGCTACTCCCATTAATGTTCCCGAGGGGTTTTTCTGTCCTAGATTCCATGTGTGTCGAGCGCTTATCTGTACCAGTGTACAAATTGGTCTAGCCCAATTTGTAAGGTAGAACTGGGGTCATCATAATCGGGGGTAGGAAGCATTAAAGAACTACAGGAATGTTGTATGTTTCGTCGGTGCTGTACTGTACCCTGGCTGGCTCATCCTTCCTTGTAACCCTTCCGCAAGGAGATATCCAATTGTCCACAGATAGGCTTTGGGCCTCCACTGCCCCTCCCTTTGTTCACATCAATATGACTATTTATTTTGGTCTTCTGATACTTGTTAACTGATCCTGTCACCACCTCGTGATCACACAGGCTGGTGTGCTTATTGCATGTGGGCTTTGTTGCTTCCCAGCTAGATGGCCACTTGTTTATCTTCAGATGCAGTATCTTTTAATAGCCAGGCACTATCAGTTTTCTTCAGCATATTTGCTTATGCACCCATTTTGTCTTCAGCGATTGTGTCAGGAAGGTGAGCATTACAGAAGGCCAGGTTATTAGAACAAAGTATTCTTGCATTGAGGGAGTACTTGAGTAGAGGCCCAGTGTCTGTCTGCCACCCTAATACTTCACATACCGTATATACTTGAGTATAAGCTGACCCAAATATCAGCCAAGGCACCGAATTTTACCACAAAAACTGCATTAAAAATGTGCTGAAAATCTCGGCTTATACGAGTATATAGGTTAATAGATGTACATAGATCTATGTTCCTAACACTATATATAAATATTTTGCATATGTGCGTGCCTGTATTTATACCTCTGTATACAGTATATACTTTCCTCTTGTCCCACTATCATGTTCAACCTTTATTTGGCTTTCAGTAATACCTCTCGGCTACAATGCACTTGATCAAACCCAACCAGGCATTCTACACCCTCCTCGCCAATGATTTTAGATCACTTGTTCCCTTGTCCCTAGGTTTTTTGGCTCCTTCTTTTCTTCCCCCTCCCCCGCTCCTCTGTTCCACCCACACCCCTCCCCCCTGGAATCATCAGTCCTGTTGTTTTCTCCTGGGAATTGTTTATCCTGCCTATCTTATATCGGTAGACATGAAATGCTGGAATGTTTATTTTTCTCTAGTTTTACAATAAGAGGTGTGACTCAAGCAAGGTGTGTGACTAAAATAAAGGTGTAACTTGAATCACACCCTCTTAGGATTATAGTTCAAGATATAAGGGCTTCAAGAATTCAAGGAGAAATTCTATTACTTTTTAGTTCCATTTCTAAACTTTCTGAAGCCCTCTAGCACACCCACGACTAATACTGATAAATGTTAGCATTTACAACAAACACAACCACTCAATACGTGGAGGCTGGTCTACGCAAATATTATAGTACTTTTGGGGGGAAATTGCAATTTTCCCTGAACTATGAGTCCCCATCTGCAATTTTTAACTGTGCTAGTACAATAGCCCACAGGACAAAAGCTCTCATTAATGCCCTTCATTACCACGCAACTTCCTTTTAACATTGACTTTTGCTGTTATGCCTTTACCCTTTAACAACTTCCCACGGTGTACAAGGGACAGGAAGACCTGGCTCTTGCTTCTTTCTCCGCCTGCCATGTGCTGCCCCACCCCTGCCACTTGCACAGCCTTCCTCCATCCTTCAGTCTCTGCACTAGGCAGCCCTTCCCCACCACAGAATCGGGGCATGCTGTTCCCACCGTATCTCATGTGGGATTCCTTCTCTGCTCTGGCTCTCAACTGAAATGTCATTTCTCCACCCCCCCACGCCCCTGATATGATCTCTGGCTTTTCTTTTCTTTTTTCTTTTTTTTAACATTTTATTAGGGTCTCATACAACTGTTATCCCAATCCATACACACATCAATTGTGTAAAGCGCATTTGTACATCGATTCCCCTCACGTTTCTCAAAACATTTTCTCTCCACTTAAACCCCCGACATTAGGTCCTCATTTTTCCCCTCCCTCCCCGCTCCCCCCTCCCGCATGAGCCCTTGACAGTTTATAAATGGGTATTTTGTCATATCTTGCCCTGTCCGACGTCTCCCTTCATCCACTTTTCGGTTGTCTGTCCCCCAGGGAGGTCACACACAGTTCCATGTAGTCGGTTCCCTCTTTCCTACCCATTCTCCCTTTACCCTCCCTGTTTTGCCACTCACACCACTGGTCCTATAGGGCTCATCCGTCCTGGATTCCCTGTATTTTCAGTTCCTATCTGTACCAGTGTACCTCCTCTGGTCTAGCCAGTCTTGCAAGATAGAATTCGAGTCATGGTAGTGGGAGCGGGGAGGAAACCTTTAGGAACTAGAGGAAGGTTGTATTTCTCATCATTGTTACATCACACCCTGACTGGCTCATCTCCTCCCCGAGACCCCTCTGGCTTTTCTTTTTAATGTTTCTATTTCACAGTTCTTATTCCATTATAATTACTTCTTTGATCATTTGCTTACTCAGTATCTGTTTTCCCACCAGACTCTAAGAGATGAGGAGGACCATGCACAACTGTATCCCTCAGGACTCAGGAGAGGCCCAGTAAATGTATGAATGCCTGTGAGGACCGCAAAACGGACCCGATGGACACCAAAGGGAGCATCGTCACAACTGACTAGCGGCGGCCTCTGGTATTCCTAGTAGGGCAGCACCCACCTGAGCTTCATGCTGAGCTTCAGGAGGGTGCTAAGCATCGCCTACTAGGAGGTGTCCTCTTGCTCATAGGGTGCTTGTGCTCTCCTAGCACTCGTGCCACAGAACCTGGAGGTCAAGAAAGCAGGTCCTCCTCCGCCCTAACCCACCACAGTGCAAACCAGCAGGACGAGCCCTCTGAAGCAGAACTGGAAGCAGGATGCAATTCTTTCAGCTCTGACTTCATCTGACGTGAGGTTTTACCTTTCTTCTGTCCTCTCGTGGACTTCATCCACAATGATGTGCGTCACCCCTTGGAGAGTGGCATCTCCTTCCAGCCTTCTCAACAGCACTCCTGTGGTGCAGTATAACAGTCTTGTGGATGAAGACTGAACATGTAAAAGGCAAAAGGAAGCACTTATGAAGTTTCTGGAAAAAGGAAACATTTTAGTGCCAAGCTATTTTGAATGGGTGGACCTAAAGGATATTTAACACTCCCAATAGTTGCACTTAATATGAAACCATACAAAATGCATAGTTTCTTGCTGCCTATAACAATGGAAACAATTCTATTTCACATCACAATTTTAAGTATCGGACTTGCATCAAATGTCTTAAGATCATTACAATCCATACAAAAATTCCTGATGAGATCGATTCTGAATTTGCTTGCTCCTATTTACTTAAATGGGTTAGCAAGAAGAGCAGGCAGCATCTACAAGACCACTCTACCAATAGAAGAGAAAAGTTGCCTTTGTAGAGGAAATTCAATACAACCAAGTAAGAGTTCTTACACCAAAACATTTCAGGTTTACTGAAGGAAGTAATAGATTTAAACTGATCTTAAAGTAATTGACGGGGGTTTAAAAAGTTCACAGAAAAGTTGAATGAACTGATCATGGAGTTTTGCTCATATGTCCTAAGTTTTCCATGAATCCCTAGACCTGGAGAACTTTTTACACTTGAACACTGTACATTTCTGCTGCTAGGAAATACGCAGAGCACACATACTTTGACACTCTCCAACCGGATCTGGTACCCTACAGTCAGGCCCACCCTCTCTGCTCTTTCTTTAGCAACATGCTCAGCGACAGAGATGGCAGAGATGCGTCGGGGCTGGGTACAGATGATGTTAGCCACCTTCTCAGGTGGCCCATGCAGAGACTCATCCAGAATAAACTGTGGGATCTGTGTCGTTTTTCCACATCTGTACATCACAACAAAACAAAATGAGTTTTTAAGTGCTAAAGAATGACATATACAATGAGAAAATATAAAAGTTACTAAAGTTGTCCAGCTTCACATGTCTTCCAAGTTGGCACCAAGGGGATAACAACTTACAGGGACCTTATAGGACAACATAGAGTGCTCTGTAAGATTTCCAAGGCTATTTAATTGGGGGGCGGGGAGGTATATGGGGGGGAAGGGGGGGATTCAGACTGTCACATCTTTCTCCTGCAGAGCGGCTAGTGGGTTTGGACCACTAATCTTAGGGTTAACAGCTGATCATTTAACCACTGTGCCACTAGGTCTCCTTCTAAAAGTACTTAACACTAATGAGAAATCCTAGGAATTTACAGAGAGACTAATGGGACAATCCCATGATAGTTTAGTATCACTTGTAGAACTGGAACTATTGGACAGACAGCAGGCTAAAGTTTAACTGTCTCTAAAAATGTAAATTTCTCTATGTAAGAATTCTAAAGAAATAGGAATATTAGCTTATGGTTGTTAAACTACTTTGTTTCTCTGACGTCTACTGAATTAGATATAAGTGTATTGAAGTAAAAAAGATAAGAAACTTGGAGAACACAAGGTTACCACTACATCAGTGAGTCTGGGTATAAATAGGATTATTCAGTTGTATACCCTTAGATAAAGAATTAAACTAAGCCTGAAACTTGTTCTTGCTAAATGAGTCTGCATAACATATAATGACCTAAGTAAATATACACTCAGAAAACTGACATTTTCAACCTAAACATCTTGGGACCACACTTCAGTCTTCAGAGCGGTATGTGCTAAGAGTCGTAAGTTGGGCCCCTTACCTTAAAGGAAAGATAAAGAAAGAGTCCTGGTGGTGTATCAGCTAAGCACTCAGTGACAAACTGAAACACTGGCTGAACCGTCAACTCTGAACCAATGTACACAGTGGCTACTCAAGAGAAAAGAGCTGCAATCTGCTCCCATGAAAGTCACCACCTAGAAAATCCTGTGGGCGATTCCACGGTGTCCCGCCAGGTCAATATGGTCGAAGCTGACTGAACAGTGCCTACCAACAATATACCAAATCGTTCCATTCTCAGATGAATTTCTGATTTTTTCCTCTCTTTTTAATATCATGTGTTGTTCTTGGCTACAAGGGTTAAAAGAAAATACTAGCATCTGTGTAATATTATTTAATACTTAACAGGAAAAAATCACAGATAACCTAGTTACTGTTTTTTTAAACAGAAAAACCAGGGCACATGGACTGATAATGAGAGCTACATTGTAAGTAAATGGCATTCTTACCCAGTCATACCACTTATGACAAGCACTTGGTGCTTGCTCAACAAATTAAGGATAGTTTCTCTTTCTTCCCAGGCAGGGAGGGAATGTCTTTCTTGCAGGGCTGACTGGAACTGTCTGGAAGTCTAATAAAATCAAAGACAGGGCATCAGTCAGGTTGCTTTCACCAACTCTTCCAGAGCTCTGAATCTGGAAGCCCACCATGAGACCCACCCTTCCTGCTCTTTCTTTTAAAACTTGTTCAGAGACAGTAACTGAGACTCTTGTTGGGATTGGACGCAGTCGGCCTTAGAGCAGTTAGGAGAATCAGACAGAACAAGGTGTTGGCTCTGTGTGGCTTCCCTACATCTCAATCAACAGACAGATCTTCTAAGAGAAATAAAGCTCTCTTGCTCAGCACCCACCCTGATCTTCCTAGCAAGAGTCTCTGGACCAGCACTGTCCCACACAGCACCCCATGTGCATTCAATCTTCTTCATCTAAGCTGCCCAATATAGCAACTCCTACCATCCTTGGCTACTGAACACTTAAAGGGTGGCTAATGCAATTCAATAACTGCCTTTGTAGTTTACTTGAGTTTATTGAGATGTGAACAGCCACATGTGGCAGGAACTACCATATTGGCCAGCACAGCTCAATATTTTATCAGACTTTTACCCAAATCAGTAATAGTAAGAGTATTCCCAAGAAGGTTCCTTCCAGTCCATCACCAGACCCACGTAACTCAATCTGCTATCTAACGGCCAATGTGACACTGTATTGTACATGAAACTACAGCTCGATTTTTGAAT